TTGTGGACAATCGAATCCCGTATGTAATTTGAAAAAAAAACGCACTTAGGGGTGCTGACGTAAAAAAAAATTTTTTTTTTTTTTAATTTTTTCCAAGAGTGGACAAAAGATTATTATTCTTGGACAAATATGGACATATTATGGACAATCTAATGCCATATAGATTTTGTCAAAATTCGCATTTAGGGGTGCCAACTTCACGCAGCTGTTCTTTAACAATCCCGTCCCGTTTTCCTATACTTTAATTAACCGAAACACGATGATTGACGGTAATATAGACTGCCTATGGTCGTCTGCCAAGTGAACCGTATAATTAATTCCTTCAATGATATGCGCGTTCCTCTTAACTAATTAAAAGAGAAAAGACTGATCGCTCAACGAAACTCGTCTCGATGAAACGTCTCGGGGTGATCGTTATTACGCGAAAGACGCAAAAGACGATCGATCATCGGGTGGTGATCTCGTGCTTGGTCTCGACTCGGGAACGGAAACCTATACGAGGATGAACGGACGCGTGATAACGTGCGCGATTTACAAGACATCGCCTGCGAGAGAACTGCGAGTCGTAACGCGCGGGACGTTTGATTAATGGCGTCTCGAAGAGATATGACTCTTGTGTGATCGTGAATCGGATCCTATGGTGCTATTTAGTGTACGTACGGTCGGTGCTGACAGACACACGTCGTGACACACGTACCTTCCGCAGGCTTTCCTGGTAGGCATAAGTAAACTGGCCATTAGCGGCGCGAGGGACCTTAAGAAAAAAACAAGAAAAGATATCTCCTACCAAACGGCTCGTAACGTGATCTAATGTGTACACCAACGAGGCACTCGAAATGGGTATGGAGTAATCACATAACACTTGCAGAAGCACACATAACACAATTGTGGATGGAGAGGTGGAGAAAGAGAGAAGAAAGAAAAGTACGATATAATACGTTATATAAGGGAATATTTCTATCATAGTGTGTAGGGGGAGAGAAATTACAAATCTATAGTAAATTGTGTAGAGACACGAAGATCGGCGGTTACACTTCCGCTTGGAGAAAATGTAATTGTCCAATTTTTCACACGTTATATCTCCTTAATTGGAGACTCGGTTGTTTGTCAGAAACAAGTAGATTTAATAGAAACAAATTATATTTCCGTGTCAGACAAATAGCATTTTTGAGTATCGATATTAGGCAATTGGCCGATGTATTTCGTATCTCCGCTAGCTAATTGATCGTACACTAAGCATAAAGTATTTCTCTGCATGCATGGACTCTGTAAAAGAAAATAAACAGAATTGAAACGATATGTTCAGTATGAGCCGTGTCGTCATACGGCCGAAATTCACTGTTCCGCGCGTTACCACGCGCAATCGCAGGATCGAGGCAGCGATATTCGACACGTTGAAACTGTATTTTACGATATAGCTAGGGCGAATGATTAACGAGAGGGGTGACAGGTTCCATACGTAAAGCCACCTATCCAAAAGGGTTATGACATAATACGAGCAGTCGAGATTACGCAGCGAGTCCCAAAAAAGATTCGTATACGAGTAGCAGAGTTTTGATAGAGGCGTTGACAGCTCTTTCGTCAAAATTCGATCGATCAGGCAGTAGCAAAATTTTATTCATTAAATTTTGAAAATTAATTATACGAAAATAAAAAATGAATTGAATTTTCTTATGCATCTAGTAAAAATCTGGACCCAAATTTATTAAAATTATAACTTCCAAATTGGAAGACTTTTTTGGGACATCCTATATACGCCAAGCATGCTACAGAGCGGCGGATATTGTGGGAAGGCTCGACTCGTCGCGATTTTTTCGTTTCGCTGTGCGTTAAAGACAATTTAATTCAGATTAAGGTGTTAAATTAGATATTTATATTACGCTAGATATTTATATTACGATTTGATTGCGCCTGATGCATTTGCGTTTTCCCAATACGCGAATTAGTCAGGAAAGATACAGCCTGTCGAATATATTTGGCTTACGATTTATATCCATTCGATACCTGCGTTACCAACGGTAACAAATTATTACCAAGTTTCGCCTAATTGCCCAGATTTGCATTCGCCGTAATTCATCGAGTTTGCCCCAATAACCTAAGAAGTCCCTTCGGACCTGATATAAATATAATACATCACCATTCGAGTTCCTGCATTCCGGAGAGAGCGGTGATTTCAGACTGACGGCGAAGCAACCGATATTCCGAATTTCGCGATTTCAATCGCAGACCACCGACGAGTCGAGTCGGATCGAATAGCCTCGCACAAGTTGCTCTCGTAGAAGCGAGGTCGAGGGGGGGGGGGGGGGATCGTGAGGTTGATAACAGGACCAACGCGATATATTACGTCAAAACGACGCGTACAAGAAGGTCAATACGTATATATGTATATACATGTCGTATAGACATCGTTTAGGTCGGATACTTACGGCGCTGACTTTCCGCACTTTATTGGCAGCGCTGTGATTGTTGTTGATCTGCTTGATGTGCCTCTGGTCGCCGGCGGACTCGATCGAACGTATGCTCATCTTCTCCTTATTGTTGTCGTCGTTGCCCTTTTCCTGGCCGACGAACAGCTCGTAGCTGTGACACGAGAAATCCGACGGGGATTTGACGATCTGATCCGCGGCCTCCTCGGCGGCGGCCGCCGCTGCGGCCGCAGCTTCCCGCGCTGCAGCCTGCGCCGCGAGTTTGTTCTCCTTCGCCAGTGCAGCCTCCTCGGCTTCCTGTTAATATTAATTGACAGTGTCTTTTGATTTGACCAACTCATGTGTCTAATTTCGCGAAATAATCCAATTTAGCTTCTAAAAAAAAAAAAAAATATTCTTCGTCTTCGATCGATTTTTCTTCCATAATCAAAAGCATCCACTTACCCTCATAGCTTCTTCCTCGGCGGCCTCCTCCTCTTCGGCCTTCTTCTGCAACTCGTCGTACGACATCGCGACAATAGCGAGGATCAAGTTCACGAGATAGAAGGATCCGAGGAAAATGATGACGATGAAGAAGAGCATGTGCCACGGTCCGGCCGATCTTAGCACCAGTTGATACAAATTCTCCCAATAATCCTGAGTCATGAGACGAAAGGCGGAGAGCAATGCCCAACCGAAAGTGTCGAAACTCGTGTAACCGTAATTCGGATTAGGGCCGAATCCTTGTAAACACGTGTACCCGGGAAGGCACATCCTATATTCGGAGAATATCACTATTTTTCTTGTGTACTTGACATACCGGTATCACAAAAATATATTTCCAAGATATTTCTCTTTCCACTAGTGTTGTCACTCTTTCAATTAGAGACATCAATCTTAAATTTGTTTTGAGCTAATAATAATAATAATAATTGTTATAAGTGCACAGAATTTTTTTTAAATTTACCCTGCAAATCATGTTAATTGTGGGACAATATAGTATTTATAGACAAATTTTACTGTGCACTATAATAAATTTTACAGTAGTAAAATACAGTAAAATTTATTGTAGTGCACAGTAAAATTTGCCTAAATATTATGTTGTTCCGCAATTAACATGATTTGCAGGGTAAATTAAAAAAAAAATTCTCTCCGTGTGAAAGCGAATTATCAACTTACCCCGCCCCCGATGAATTTCCGCATAACGGTATATTTTTCGCTTCGTCCACGTACCAATTAGCTGTATGAGGGAAATAATGATTTAATAATCGGATATATGCGATTTAATAATCGGTTATATCGCAAATTAATTTCAAACAAGACTATTATCTTCATGAAACAACCAATTAGTACAGTTAGCTGTATCCCGTTTTACCTCGCATGAAGCTCTTTGTAAACACAGCTCACGTTTAAAGGTGTACTACTGAAATAGTTGAGCCAATCATACTTTGAGAAAATCACGTCAAAGACGCTTCAAAGACAAAAACATCGCAAAGACTCTCAGATGATATTTCAGATTCCTTTTTCACACGCCCCCGAGGGCTTTCCGTGCTTTTGGATTAATTTTCACGAAGAACTACGACTTACATTCGTTTTTATTGAATCGCGCCCAACTCTCGTCGGTGAGATTACCCCAAGAGCCGTCCTCAGGAAAGTTCTTTATACACTTTTGCGTGAGGACCCCCATATAAATCTGAAGGCCCATCAGCGCAAAGACGGAGAGGGAGAACATCGTCAGGATTATCACATCGCGCAGGTTCTTCACGGATTCTATCACAGCGCCGACAATGGTTTTCAGACCTAGACAACGAGAACAGAATGACAATAGGTTGCGTAGCGGTGAAACGTATGGCAACAGGCGGCGGTAACCTGAAGTAATATCGATTTGGCTTGTCGTGCAAGAGAAGTGACAGTTTGACCGAGGCAAATACAAAATGCGAAATGCAAAATGAGTATCTATTTCGGAAAGATTCGATAAAAAAAAATATATATATAATTTTGAACGATGGGAAGAGCCATCACGACGCGCGCGATTTTACGGAAAGCGACATGAAAATTTGTTAATATCATATTCAGACGAGAGATTTGTTTTTGATATAAGCGCAATCCATAGCTTACGAGATGAAAAATGGAACACATAAAGGTCATTAGAAGTGTATTTTTTCACGATAAATCACCTGATATGATATACGATCAAATTTTCTCTGTCTTCATTCACGTTCAAAGCAAGTTTCGTGCATCGAGTTCGATAGTTCGTTTCGCAGCCGCGATTGGTGGGAAGAAAATAAGGAGAACTGGAGAGAAAAGCAAACCGTTGTGAAAGAAATCGAATTCGTCG